CGTTCACCCCCCTCTCCCCTCCCGCCCACCGAACCACCGCCCACCAAAGGCTGCCAGTCAACGCCACTGAATGTCCTCCGCAGTTGCACGTGGGCTGAAGAAAGTGGCGCGAAGCCACAGCCATCGCGAGAGGTTACATTGGATGTGGTGTGCCGGGTGGCGGGGGGAGTCGGGGGGGAAATAGTTTTCCCCGGGGTTCGCCGCACCTCCGATGAGCACCGGATCGGCTACGTACGGCGCGGAAGAAGTTCAGCGCCCAGAGCTTCTCCTTCGGTGTTGATGGAGCGCGATGTGCCGGACGTGTTTCTGTCGTTCTCACGCCCTCTCGTTGGAGCCTCTTTCGAGACGTTTCAAGCAACGCTTCGTTTAGACGGGGAGGGGAAACTGGGCACCGGCGGTCTCACCGACCACCACTGACCACCACCACCACCAACAAAGACATAGATCCCCCGTATAGCCTTAGCAAAGTGTTGGGGTAAGTGCTGTTAGCGAGCACACGAGAGGGTAGGTGTCTCCCCAGTGGCGATGTTTACTACTACACACCGCACCAGGTACTCATTTGAGGCTGAGTCGATCTAGGGGGAGGCCCGGTACCGGTTCATATAATCGTCACCGGCGTTGGTGGTCGTCAGCGGGGAATCGAACTCGGGTCGCCGGATTCGTATCGCGGGGCGCGCGGTAATCGCCGCACCACTGCACCCCAACCATTAAACCCACCACCACCACCACTATTTTTGTTGCAATATTCCTGAAGGAACCAGCTGTACTTATCTCTGCGATACGGCGGCATGGATCTCCGGCGTGACAATAGCCCCGGGCAAGCGGGCGACACGGGAGAGCAAGTTGTCCGTCGTGCGTCCGTGTGACGAATCAAAAAAGAAAAATAAGACTCGACACTCAAAAATTGAAAGCTCGCCGCCACCGCTAACCGCCACCGATGTCCACACGCAAGGCCACTCGTGAACATTCAGATGGGTTTAATCCGCAGGGGCAAGGTTTACACGTGTGTTTACGCGAGACAAGAGCGGGCGTAGGAATTCGGTGGCCGTGGCAAAAAGCCGGGATCGGTGGTGGCCCTGTACCTGATGAAATGAAATAAATACTTTCGTATTTATTTGTATATAATTTTTTTTAAAAGTGATTTCCTTACCTTTGCAACGCTTTGCAATCTTGTGTTTTTTTGCGCTGTTGTTGTAACATTCTGACCCCGTGCCCCTACCGGGACATCTGTGGAAAAAGAGCTTCATAGCTCATCGGATTCCCTCCAGTATAAATAAATAATTCTGATTCTTGGGGGGGGGGAATGTGGCTGGGGGGGGGGGCGTCAAGTAAGCGACCTCCCCCACCCACCGAATGACAATAGCGGGCGTGTGCGCAGCGCTGCCGGAGGTTGTTGATGCCTGTTGTTCTAAATGTGAGATATCTTTGTTGTATCTAACTTCTGGTCACCGCTGTACTTGCGTCCTCGGCAACGAACGAGCAGCGGCGAGAAGCGGACAGAGAGCGCGGGATCACGGCGAGGCCCCCGGCTACGGCGTGCGGTGCTCGCTACGAGCAGCCAGGGATGAAGGGAAATGGAAAAGCGAGAGAGGGAAGGGAGAGGGAAAGGGAAGAGAGGGGGAAGAGCGATACGGGGAAAGGGAATGAAAACATTTTGTAACTCCAGAATATTCACAAAACGTTGTGAACATTCTCTTTTGAGAATGGGCTACGCGCGTGGCGCCACGGTGGCTATGAGATGTTAACTACCTCGCCTGGTATACAGGAGGTCGTGGGTAAGATTCCGACCATGACGCCTGCTGCTGTATATTTGGAGTTTGCGTGTCTCTCTTCCCGTGGTCGCGTGGATTTTTGTCCGGGTCCTCCGGTTTTTCCCTCCACATTTAGAATCAACGTCCACGCGTTCAGAGCATTTGATTGCTGCACATTTCCACGTGATAAGCCACTTCGTTGAGCTATCATTTGCGTGGCCACGTGGCTTCTGAAAAAGAGCTATACAGCTCAGTGGGCCTTGCCTGGCAAAATAAAAATAAATAGTTTGAATAGGAACCTGCTAGGCGGCTGCAGCTTATGTACTATCTGGGTGCGCGGGACTTGTGGACTTATCGTCCGAGTGCAGTCAATGGTTTGTGGTCCTGTCATTGAAGGCTGAGTGGACCTTCGGAGAGGCACTGACCAGCACTTGCTGACTTGCTTGCTTCGTGAAGGTCTGGAGCTCGGAGCTTGCGTACACGCGGGGAGCACAGAACTCCCGCTGCTGCAGTAAGCAGGGAGGCACGCGGCAGCCTGTAACAAACCGGGCCGTCGCCCATCCAGGCACCCTATCCAGGCTCAAAGCCTGCTTAGCTTCCGAGGTCTGACCCGATCAGGTGCATCCTGAGTGATTTGGCCATCGGCGTGTCATACGTCTAATGATAATATAATTTGTTATTATTTTAATTGCACGTACGCGCGTGCGTGCGTGCGTGCGTTTGTAATATCGTTTTTTATTTTATTTAGCCGCGTGTTTTTTTTTTTTGCCGGCGGGAAGGAATTGGGTGGTGGCGACTACGTCCGTTAAGGTTTTATCAGCGGCTCTGCAAACTCCGGAGAGCTCTTCCTTTCCCAACCTCGCAAAAAAACACCACGGGGAGAGGGGGGGGGGTGGTGGGCGGTGATGGGGGACGCTGTCAGTGGTGGGAGGAGGTGGGGGGGGTGAGAAGGTCCTTACAACCGCGCTGGTTTTCGCGGTTGTACGCCTGTACGGACTCTCCAACGCACCGTGCTACGCATTGCAGGGCGTACATACGTACGCGCATAAAAACAATGCGATGTTTGAATCGCGCTTGCGCTCTGAACTCGGCCTGCGATGAATTCCGCGCGCTGTGCCACACCGCCGCTCAGCCGCGCGGCTCAAGAAAGTAGTCCGTCGTCGACCCGCTCAGTATCCGCGTTGTAGCAACAGTGCGCCCACCACGTTATAACGGTGCACGTTCTGCATTATAGCGGTGCGCGTTCCGCGTCGAGCGGAAAGTGTTCCCCGTTAGAAGAAGAACCGCGTTGGAGCGTGAACACCGCACGTGAAGCGACACCGTATTTTTGGGTTGCGCCGCTCGCTACGGCCTGTCCCGGCTCGATGTCCAACGTTTTGCCCCCACGGGCTGGGAGCTTAATCAGCAACCCAGTTACGTGCAACAGGGTATGGGATCTGGCAGGGGGAAGGGACAGAAAGCCGAGATCCGGTGGAATCAATGGCATTGGTCAGAGTAACCCCTTGACCTTGATTGAGGTCAAATATTTTACGTTGAGAGATCGGCAGAGCGAGCGAGCGAGAGAGGGGGGCTCGTGTCGTATTTTTTGTTTGGACGTGAACTGCAACGCTCGGTCTCTGAACCTGCCACGAGCCTCCACTAGGTCGACTCAGCCTGAAATTGGTATCAACTGGGAGCTTCTTGCCGGCCGTTTGTCCATCCGTCAAAATTAGCATGACCCTCCCTCCCTGCCTCCCTCCCTCCCCCTCCTCTCCCTCCCTGCCTCCCTCTTCCCTCCCTCCCTCCCTCCTCCCCCTCCCCTCCCTGCCTCCCTCCTCCCGCTGCTCTCAGCCACAAGGGATGAGAACGTTCGATGAGCGCTGGTGTCGTGGATCGTAGCTGCTTGCGAGCGGAGAGAATGCCTACGATAAGTCGAAAGCAAAACGCCGCGAATAATTTGGAGGAGCTTTAAACGAGGGGGGGGGATGCAACGGTGCCGGTTTCAACAACACCAGCAGCTGCGCAACGTCTACCCGGAGGTCGGAGGTCAAGCGCCGGCAGTGCCGGGTTAGAATCCTGGTCTCGGCCAGTGACTGTGATCAAACCGAGGTTTGCCCACGTGGAGCGATTGTTAGATGATGGCCTCAGGCCAGGCACCAACGAACGGCTGGGCCGAGCGTGCACGCGCACGCACACGTGCACACATACGTGAAAGGAACAAACAAAAAAACCCCATCGCGGTCATTAAAATTCAGAATTCCGCTCGGAGAATTGAAATTGATTTAACATCGATTTACGTTTGCAATGTTTTGATGCTTTTGATTTCCTCGTGGAAGCGAACTCTTCGACGTGTGCCGCCCATGTGCTGTGCGGTGCGTGTGTGGGATCTTAGTGGTAGCTCTGGGATATCCGCTTTTTTTTTTCTGCGAGCTTGAACTCGGGGAAGATTTGCATTCCGTGGTCAGCAGGAAGAGAGAGAGAGAGAGAGGGTGAGCAAATTATCTGGCTGTTGCCTGATGATGTTGGTTGTAATTACAGGTGAAACGTCGTGCTCGAATTGTAAATGATGTGAGTTTGCGCTCCAACACACCGGTGCGATGTACTAGTAACGAATTGGCACGTTTTGTCTTCGTGACGAAGCTTGCTCATTGGCTGCGTTAACCACAATGCTTATCCCGAGCTCTCATTACTCTGATAGTGGCATTGTCTTTGTGCTGCACGCCTTTTGGCATCCTCTGGTCTAACACCGTTTGAGACGAGGCTCAAAAGAAAGCTGTCTCTGGTGTGGACCAATCAGTTTCAAGGACAATGCATATATTATCAGAGTATGATTTTTGTTTGCATTCTGACCGCAAGCATTGTGGTTAATGCAGACATGATTCCTTGTAAAAGGTTTCAGTTTAGTGTTTTAACATCTTAACACAACTGTTTTGTTGCCAGATAAAAGGGGAAAAACCTATCATCATATTTTGTTACTGGCAAAGGAGGTCCCATGATGTAGATATCGGTCCATCTGCCCAGTGAGGAACATTTCTCCGCAGCAGAGGTGCGCGTGCGCGTGGGAGTGTCACGAAGGCCCCCTTGTGTGGATAAGCTGTCACCCGAAGAAGGCTGGGGTGGGGGGGGGGCGGCGTCTCAGAAGTAGTTCTCTGATAGCTGCTTCCTCCACGGGGGGGGAGAAAAGGGCACAAAATAAAGCCGGAGGATTACTGTTTATTTTTGTTTATCAATCGTGTTTTTCGTCATCTACCATCTGTGCTCCGTTGCCAGGTGTGTCCAAGGCGAGGAGGTGACGAGGAGGTCACGAGGAGGTGACGAGAGATCATTGCGGACGACCGCTAAACATGTTCTCAGGTAAGCTTCACGGCACCCGGACTGTGCTGCGCGGGCGTTGTCACGGGGGACAAAGGCGCAGCCCTGCAATTACTCGCTAGTGCCACTGCTGGCAGAAGGAGCCTGCAGCAGAGAATGAGCCCCAGAGAGCTGCCTGCGGCTGGACATTTTGGCCGACTTGCTCCTCGCTGGCCAGACGTCTCGGAAGGCGTGGGAGTTACCCACACTTTACCCCACCGCCAAAGATATTGAAACCCCCGTATAGCCTTTAACAGACTGCTGGGGCAAGTGCTGTTAGCGAGTAGCACCTATGAAGGCCCGGGTCGCCAAGTTAGTAGCGCAGCGTAGCGCTAACCGCTACACCACCACCACCACGACACGTGGCCTGCCAATGGATTCACCCATTTACACAGCGGGGTGGACAGAGGTGGTTAGCACGGTATCACGCGGAGGGGGTGGTGGATTCCACCCTGAAGACGCCTGCTGCTGCTGCTGTATATTTGGAGTTTGCGGTGTCTCTCTCTCTCTCCCCGTGGTCGCGTGGATTTTTCTCCCTGTCCTCCGGTTTTTCCCTCAACGTTTGTAATGAACATCACGCGTTAAGAGTATTTGGCTGTTATAAATAGCCACGTGATAATAAGCCACTTCTTTGGGCTGTCATTTGATGTGGCCAGGTCGCTTCTGAAAAAAAGCTATGCTGCTCAGTGGGCCTTGCCTGGTAAAATAAAAAATATAAATTTTGATTTAAAGCTTTCGTGACTGCAGGGATTCATATTCTTGGTTCTTTCGGCAAAGTCACGTAATAAAAATAATACAAACATATTTTTATTATTTTATTGTTTCCCTTCTACGTGACTTTACCGAAAGAACCAAGAATATAAAAAAATATAGTTTAGTTTAAGAAACCTGCTCCCATTGTTTCAACTGCCGTGCACCGGGAGATGGGATCGGTCCGGTGACCTCTGGCTCGCAAGTCCATTGCCGCGTGAGTGCCCACACACACACCGGTGACAACCTGCGATAAGCACGTGTGTGCAGCGTCCAAAAAAAAAGACAAAGATCCCCCGTATAGCCTTATAAGACTGTAGGGGCAAGTGCTGTTAGGGAGCGCCTATAAAGGCCGGCACGGCGCACGAGCGGGTGGGTGGCAAACAGCACGCCCGACCGCCTTTGTCTCCCTAGTGGCAATGTTTACACTCCGCACCAGGTACTCATTTGAGGCTGAGTCGACCTAGGGGAGGCCCTGGACCGGTTCAGATAATCGTCACTGGTGGTGGCCCGTGAGCGGGAATCGAACCCGTGTTGCCAGGTTCGTAGCGCAGCGTAGCGCTAACCGCTACACCACCGCTCCTACACACACACACGCGCGTGTTTACGTGAAAAACCTTCCTAATTGGCTGTGTCGGGTGGTGGCGGGTTTAACGACACATTTCTATTCACGCGATATAACACGAAAAAAAACCCCTGTATTATGGATCTCTTATTGCGGATAACATTGGTCAGGAAAGTCTACGTGTTAAACACACACACACACACACGCGCGTGTGTGCCGAGGCCTGTCCTTAAGGGCCTGGGGACAACCAACATGGTCGTCGGAGTTGAGGGTTAAATCTACGTCACCATCAGGCGTGGTTAATCTACTGCTGGATGAAAGTCCCCCCCCCTCCCAACGCCCCCGCCGAAGCCGCCCCGAGCTCTCGCCACCCCAGCCGCGTAGAGATCCGCCCAGCATGCGCTGGGATCTGCCCGTGAGCGGATTTCTGATTTCCTCGCTCCGTCTCCGCGGCGGGCGGTTCCACCTCAGAGGGGGCGCCGTTTCCGTTTCGTCGGCTGCCGCCGTGACGCGTTGCTGCCCGGGGACCACGCTGGATGGCGCGATGACGAAATGTTTGAGCGCTTCTTTAAAAAGGGCTCAGCACCCGTCCGGCGTGAACAGGGGCGGGGGGTGAGGGGAGAAGCGGAGATGCTCAAAACACCACGTGGGCAGCTCTGACGAGGCATTCCGTCTGCGTTCACCATGCGAGCAAGCGCGCTCTGATGATGTGCGCACTGTCCTTGGGAACTGATGGACCTGCACCGGCGGCAACCTGCGGCGAGCACAAAAAGGCGGACGGTACAAGGGCAATGACAGGGTGAACAGTCAAGCAGTTGTATGCACGCGGTGCCGTAGGTGCGCGTGGCGATGGCTCTCGATTCGCTTTTGTCCCCCGATCCGCGCCGTTCCCCTTTCTGTCCGCGACGACGCGATCCGCTCCGTCGTAAAAAAAAACCGCCGTCGTCGCTCCTCGTGACGCGTGGCGCTGATGAAGTTTTAAACGAAATAAAAAATAAAAAATAAAAACCTCTCGTTTCCCAGGGAGGCGCCCGCTTCGTGGCGACGGCGAGAGGGTCACCTTTTGGACCCCTTTTGTCCACACGGGGAGAAACTCCGGCTGGCGACTTAACCTGCGATAGTTGAACAAAGGCCTCATTTGAAATGTAAGAGACCCGGGCGATTCCAGGAATGTCTTTTGTGCCTCGGCTGGGAGCCCCCCCCCCCCCCCCCCCCTGCAACATCTGTGGCGCAGGGGTTGCAGTCATGCTGAGCACGAATTTCAAAGGGCCCTTAATTGATTGGGGTTTAGGGAAAGCGTTTTTTTGTCCATTCATTTATTCATTCGCTAATTCGCAACGAAGCATTCGGACTCCCCCCAACGCTTTCTCTCACCCCCCCCCCCCCCCTCCACCCCTTGCAGCGGTTCCGTTTCAGGTTTTGCAAGCGGTTGCTCGGTACGGCACCGCTGTGTCCGTGCAGTGAGCCGAACTTTCCAGGTCGTGGTGCTGTGAAGGTGGAAGGGGCTTTCTTTCTTTCTTCCGTACGGCCGACGTAGACGCAGGGCAACAACCGTGGTACTGCGTCGATGTGGTGGAGCCGGCTTATTGCGTCGGGAGAAGTGGAGCGGTGCATCGCTGCGATGACGCCTCCTTTCGCATAGATCTCCGTGTGAGTCTGTGGGTCTCAGTAGGTCTCAGTGTGAAGCTGAAGATGTATATCTTCGTATGCCAGACGTTGTTGGATAGTAACAACTGTAATACTACATGGAGCTGGAAGAGCGAGCTGATTGCGTCCGGATAAGTAGAGCGGTGAATCACCAGGATCATTCTTCCTCCTCCGTATTTGTCAATGGGGGGGTGGGCATTGAGTCGTTCGTTGTACGTCCAGCGGTGTGATCTGTGTCTTCTTGTGTCGTACGTCTGAGTATGAGTGATGATGTGTGGTCTAATGTAGACGCAGGGCATCAACTACAATTTTACGTTCAGGCTGGATCAAGCCAGACAACCGCGTCATGAACGGCGCAGCGTGTCACAGCCGCGGTGTCTCCTTCACATTTGTGGGTCGGCTATCGGATCGTTATACGTTGTGCGGTCTGTTCTGGATGTTAAGGGTCGCACGCTCCTGGAGAGTTTTTAATTTTACGTTTGTGCATCAGGTAAACCGCATCTGCCATGGTTTGTGAAGGGGGTGTGGTTGAGGGTGGACCGTGAGTTCTGTGGAAGGTCAAACCCCAGGTATCTGCTGCGTTGGGTCATTCACGGCAATGTGTTTGTTTGAGAGTTCCTTCGAACTCGCGTTCAGCTCTCCCAAGTTTCAGCGTTACCTGAAACGTTGCCGATTCTCTCTGTCTCTCTCTCTCTCAAGGCAACGCCCAGTGTTATTGTTGACGGATGTGTTAAGTTGTTGTCGTCGTCGTCGGTTGTGCTTGTGCACCGCCGGCAGTGCGAGAACAGCAGCGGCGTCGCCAGGGGATTTTCTCGGTGATGCGGCGCGACCCGAGGGTTGGGCCCCTGTGGCTCACGGAGGTCGGGCACGGGGTGAGGCAGGCACCGCTCGGAGTCTGGGTTCGAAATCAGGGCTCGGCCACCAAACGGCGGCGACTGAACCGGGGTCCTCGGGCGCGGTCGGTCGATCGTCTGGGCCCGGTCACCGATGGCTGTAAGAAAACGGTTCCAATTCTACGATTTACTACAGCCCACAATTTTTGCCCTTTGTGTTGATTTACACACACATAGCAAAAGACAAAGATCCCCCGTATTGCCCGAGCAGACCGTTGGGGCAAGTGCTGTTAGCGATCCCCTCCGAAGGCCGGCACGGCACACGAGGGGGTGGGTGGCCAGCGCCACGCCCGGCCGCCTTTGTCTCCCGAACGGCGACGTTCACACGTCGCACCGGGTACTCATTTGAGGCTGAGTCGACCTAGGAGAGGCCCGCGACCGGTTCCGACAATCGTCACCAACGTTGGCCGTGGGTTGTACTCGGGCCGCCGGGTTTGTGGTGCTGTGCGCTAACCACCGCGCCGAGCGCCCCCCCACTCACACAGAGAGACACGTAGCAAACAAGTAACGACGTTCGTACGAGTGGTTTAATTCCATCAAATTGTCCAGTGAATCTCGCAGCCGGTCAACACGTATCGTCTTGTGAGACGTGGTGGTGGCTTTCGGGGGTGGCCTTCGTCCAACAGTGGATTGATCACGGCTGATGAAGGCTGGAGCCGTCCGACCACTGCACCATACGGGCGGATGTATGTACGGCGAATATGAAATAACTGTTTTCATTTAGAAAATCTACAGTTATTTATTATTTAAGGTAAAAACAAACGTTTGCCTTTCTGGTGGAGTGGGGGTAGGTTTTGACTTGTTTGCAATTCAGCCAGACTAAGTGTGGTTGGTGTGCGTGGGTGTCCTTGTGCGCCTGTGTGTGCGCACAGTGAGTGTGTGTGTGCGCACAATGAGTGTGTGTGTGTGAGCGGTAGTGTAGCGGGTACCGCGTCGCGCTAGAAACCCAGCATCCCGAGTTCGATCCCCGCTCACGGTCACCACCAGTGACGATTAATTGAACCGGTACTGGGCCTCCCCTAGGTCAACTCAGCCTGAAATGAGTACCTGGTGCGGTGTGTAAACATCGCCGCTAGGGAGACAAAGGTGGCCGGGCGTGGTGCTGGCCACCCAGCCCCTCGTGTGCCGTGCCGGCCTTCGTAGGTGCT